CACCCACGGCCCCAAACCCCGTACTACCCCGCCTTAAATAGAAATATTATTAAGAGCATTTTTTTTCGTGTTGTAGAGTTTTTTTTTTCATTACAATAAAATGAGTATTTTCTTTTTATGTTGTAGAAAAGTTATTTTCTTTCATTTCAACAAAACGAGTACTTTCTTTTTCATGATGTAGAAAAAGAAAAAGTATTTTCTTTCGTTTCAGTAAACTGAGTATTTTTTTCATGATGTAGAGAAAATATTTTCTTTCATTTCAACAAAACAAATACTTTCTTTTTATAATGTAGAAAAGTTTTTTTTTCATTTCAACAAACTGAGTATTTTGTCCCGATAATTACTACTATAGTTTTCCCCGTCTTTCTTTGAAGAAAGCTGAAAAGCAAATATAGGAATCAATAAAAAAGGAATACCTACAAGCGAACGTGCATTGGTATCTGCTGATAACTCTCCCAATGAATTTGAACTAGAAAAATACAACAACATACCCAATATTATCCCACATCGTGAGATCTGAAGGGTAGTGTGTACGCATACCTTACCCCTACCTTATGATAGAGAAGATGTTTCCAATAGACTTTCGGCTCAGGAAACAAACTAGGAAAATACATATCAAGATAATTTAAGAAACAAACTTACTGATCCATGACAGATGGTAAAAGCAGAATTTATGACAATACATAAATTGCAAATCACAAAACTAAAAAGACATTGAAATCATCCAGAGATTTGCTTGCTGATAATTCAATCGGAAAGCTGATACGCAGTCCAACCCATCCACAAAGCAGAACCTTTCGTTGTTTCAGTACTCGTGTAGCAGAACAGAAATAAGAAGTACAATCAGAATGTCACGAGCCCGATGAATACTTTGGAGTCTGCTGTTCTGAAGTCGGATGCTATACAAAGATGCAGCGATTACTAATGGAAATGTCAGGAAAATGAAGCCCAATGCAAAAGCTATAGCTAAAAATGAGAAGTTGGTGAAAAAGAATGATGGTTGAAAGCAAGTAGCTAGTTAGAGAAAACTCAAAAACTAAAAAGTTATAGTATGAAAGAATGATATTGAAAAGTATGTCCATGCTGTTAGGATAGAAACAATCAAGTATCATACAGAAGCTAACAAAGAAACCTTAAACGATGATAAAGTAGACAACAAAAGAGAAATATACCAAAAGAGACACAAACAGTTAACGTGGTTCGATCAATTGACCTACGTCAAGAAGCGGAAATGAGCGATCCACTATATAAAAGAGAGTATAAATTATCTAAAGAACAACCTCACAAAGAGGCACACACAAATGACAACATAATATTTGTCTAACAAATTCTCCCCCTAAACAATAAGACTCTCAAATGCTTTACGGTTACATTATGGATGCTACTGAATGAGAAGGAAAAATCCTTAATTTATAGAAGTCAAAACTTTTTTCTCCAAGAAAAAGGACTAGCCAAATAAAGAAGAACTGTATTTTTCCTTTTCATAAAAGGTTAAATCAATTATGGCAAATATGTTACCTTTCCTTCAAGAGATAGGAAAACCAAATATGATAAAGAAAAACAGGACAAACACCTAACAATTGCAATATGTAGCACAATTGGCATAAGGTAAAGTTATGGATCATCTGTTCTCAATAGTAGTTTTCAAAATCTTCAAAAAGGAAAAAGAAGCACCATACGGAAAGCATAAGCAGTAACATATAAAATTCTCAATTGCGACTTCACTGAGGAATTTTTGTAAAGGAAATGAAAGGCATGAAACTTCTATATATTCCAAATGCTTCCTAATAATGCTGCAAATAATAAATGATGAGACCTGACTTTAGTGTGCAAGACAGAAGTTACTAAAATTGCTATTCATAGATGCAATGGAGAAGTGTAAATTAAAGCATCTGAAAGAGTTCGTTTCTTACTGCAGGAGTATCACAATTACGAAATCACTTACCGTCTTTAGTCTTTGTATGAGACTTGAACTTGGAAATTGCTTTCTTCACGACGGTATTCTTGAATCTGCAGAGCTGATTCCAAAACAGACTTCCTACAGCTGATCACTTTAATAAATTGCAGTGTTTCAATATCCGCAAAGCTATATGGGATCTCCTCAAGTTTGGAACAACTTTTTATGACTAGTGTTTCAAGCAGAGCAAATGATGAAGATGCATCTGAGCAAATCCACTGCATCATAAACCCATGATGTAGTTTTAAAACTCTGAGCGCAGGGAACTCGTTATCATTGAGGTCCAAGAGCTTTTCCCCCGTAAAGTATATCTCGGATAATTTAAGAGTCTCAAGGTGTCGCAGTCTTGCAATAGTTAAAACTACTTCATCCGTCAGAAAAATGTCGCAGAGGGACAAAACCTTTAGACTTGAGGGGAAGTCAAATTTTCTGGAGAGCACAGAATCATCAGGAACATCTCCAAATTCATCAATGTGGAGCCTTAGTTCTTCAAGATTTGGAAACTTCTCCCAGAAATTTGGAGTCATGTGAGCCACAGACATATAAAACATGCCAAGGGTCTTCAAGTTGTATAACACAATTTCTGAAGATTCTACAAAATTCACTCGCTCATTCTCTTCCCATGTGATTGAAAATTCGTTTATATCAACATGCCTCAACTTTGCCATTTTCCAAATAGCAGGTGATATCATCGTATAAGATGAACGAACCCGCAAGGTTTGCAGATGGAGTAGGTGTGATAACCACTTGAAATCAAGTTCCTTGACAAAAATTGCAAGGTACCGCAAGTGAGTTAGTGATTGGAATGCAGTAACCCAAGAACTTTCTAAGTACATATCCAATAAATGCAACACCCTAATAAGTCTGAAGTCATTAAGTAAAGGATAAAGATTAGTGCGGTGAGGTATACTGAATTTTGGATGCGCAATGAACTCTAGAGACCCCTGAGTTTCTCTGAAAGACTCTGCCTTGTCCGACGAATATTCATTTTTCATAGTGTCATGTATATACATGCATTTCCTTTGTTCATCTGTATCTACTGCAGGTTGATGTGGATTATATGGCACTACGAGCTGCACAAACTTTTCTACTCTAATTGTTCTCGAGCAAAAATCATGCACTTCTTCACGAACTTTGCAGTATTTTATTTCACCGTCACTTTTTGTTTCAGTAACCGTTATTAGGTATCTGTCAACAAGATCGTACAAGCAACTCTTTGATGTTTCTTCTAGTTTCAATGTGTCAATGTTCTGCACAAACTCTTCAGCTATCCACCACTTCAGCAAATCAGACACTGGAATTTCATAACCATTAGGAAACAATCCCATGTACAGAAGGCAACACTTTAAATGATCCTCTAAACGGTCATAACTTGACTGTATCATTTTCATAAGCAAGTCATCTAAAGAATGAGAGCTTAATTCACGTGCAACCTTAAGCCACAATTTAGGATCTCCCCTTTCCTTTTTCGGAATACTTCCAGCAATCATGATAATCAGATCTGTCAATCCTTTACATCCTCGGGTAACTAGCCGTCCTACTTCAAATAGTTCCGGAGGACATATCTCTCCTTGAAAAGCAGCCCTCTGCCATAACTTAAAACTCTCATCATCATTTAGCAATCGAAGGAAATAAGGATCAATATGGTGCTTAAGCCCCATTGCCACTTGCTGAATTTGAGTTGTTACTATTATTCTGCTTCTATTTTTATCATCAGGGAAAGATGACCACAACACATCCCATGCCTTGACTTCCTGTATATTATCCAATACGATGAGATATCTCTTTCCCATTAAACTAATGTGCAACATGTCAGCCATGCTATGACCACCTACAGTAATACGCTTACCAGCGATAATTTGTTTTAGTATCTCTAGCAACAGCTTTCCCACGTTATATCTTTGTGGAAAGGAGCACCACGCCCGAACATCAAAGCGAGAAACAATTGAAGGATTATTGTACAACCTTCTAACTAAAGTTGCTTTGCTTTGTCCGGGCATTCCTACAATCGATATAACATCCAGCTCCGCTGTCCCTCTAATCAATTGATGCATCATTTGTTCTGCTACATCTTGAAGACCCTCTAGGTCTTCATCAATTGGTGAATATCTACGTTGGGAAGAAGACTTTGTGGGAGTAGGAGTTCTGTCACAACTCTCAACAATATCCTCCATACTAATTAGCTTGGCCTCTATAATTGCTGGAAGCAAAATCTACATATATCAGAATTAATGAAAGCTCTGTGTGTCTCACCAAAAGGAATGAAACCAGAAGAATATAACTAACAATAATCAATTTACAACTTAGAAGAGAACACAAAAATATAAAACTAATGTCACAAGTTTTTAGAAGATTGGTGTTTTAATTAATATATGCACATATAAACAAGTCAAACAATCAATCATTTTGCAGAACATTAACTATAAGAAGCCCCTAATATTATACATCTAAGCTCTAGTTGAGAGAATGACATTTAATAGATACTACCAATTACAAGTGCGGGGAATGATATACTACTACACAAACTCAACTGTAAAGAATAGCCCTAATTTAGGCTAATTCTAATGTTCTCTTAATTGTCGAAGCTTATGCTCCTTCACCATTGACAAGGTCAGAGCTCTCATCCACCATACTTATGGCCAAATCCGACCGGCGGCAGCAGCTCCAAATTTCAATATTTCCTCTTCATTTACAATTATGCTTCTCCCATTGAATTTTGAAGATGCCAGAAAAGAGGATTGAATAAGGATGAAGGAAATGCTCTTATGCTCCAAGAGAAATGAAGAAGAAGAATATAATAGCAAAGGAGATATATCCTGAACTTTTCAACTTGAAGAAAATGTGATTAATAAATAAATAAGTCAACTTATACTAATCTTGCACGTTAAATTGGAATCCCAATAGTGAAATCTGTTCCACAACAATAGCAGCAACAAAACATACTCAGTATTATCTTATGCCATAAGATCTGAGAAGGCTAATGTGTCCGCAGACCTTACCCTTAGCATAGAGAGGCCATTTCCATTAGACCATCGGCTCAAGAAAACATAAGTACCACATTAATGAAAATATAGACAAGAAGGAACGGTATCAAAAAACTATAGAGAAAATGCATAAGTAGCCCTGATCTATACCCGAATTCTCAACTACACACTTTTTCTTAGTGGGAATCCTATTACCCCCTAAACTATTTTAAATGGAATTATTTGCATCCTTAATGCTGACGTGGCAAAGTGTGTGTATTTCACTCTCCCAAAGAAGAGTGAGAAGCAAGAAAAAATAATTTTTTATTCTTTTGACCATTTTTCTTACTCTTTTTCCTTTTCCTTTTCCTTTTTCTTTGTCATTTTTCTTTTACTTTTTTTTTCGTTTTTTCTCTGAATCCGACGGATATTCATTCACCGACGACTTTGTCTAACCGTTTTTCTTTTATTTTTTCTTTTCACACAAATTAAATTATCAAAAGATCTATTCATAAGCAAAGCAGATTTAGGGGGGAAAAATTCATCATCGAAAAACCTTCCCACGCCGAAAAAAATGATGTACTGAAATTTTAGCTGGAAAAAGTCTTCTCAACTTATATTCGTTTTTATTTCTTTTGCTCTTCCTCCCACACATAAATCACACTTTCAAGAAAAATTTATATATGTATAAAACAAAACACACTTAGATCGGGATAAAAATCTGTCGCCGGAAAAATAGTGTTCATGAAATTCCGAGACCACCATTTTATGCTGTCGGTGACCAAAACAAAAAGAAAGAGAATGAAATAACCAAAAAAAAATGACAATAATAAAAAAAATAAGAAAAAGAAGAAAGAATAAAAAAGTACTAAAAATACATGTGGGGCGCGTGTAGTTCACCACTTGCCAAGAGTTTGGTTGTCAGCGTTAAGGGTGAAAATAATTCCATTTAAAAAAAGTTTAGGGGGGTAATAAGATTCCCGCAAAGAAAAAGTGTGTAGTTGGGAATCCGGGTATAGGTCAGGGGGTACTTATGCATTTTCCCAAAACTATATAAAAGCAGAGTAAAAACAACAAAGGTGATCAACAATGAAAGAAAATAACGTTTAGTTATAAAATTCTACTACCAACAGAAAGTGAGATTGTGTGCCAATACTACTGTTATGAATACTCTAGACTACCTACTCTACTATATTAATCCCCGGCCTCCATATCTTCCTATCAATGGTCATGTCCTCGTTCAGCTGAAGTTGCATCATGTCTTGCCTAATCACCTCTCCCCACCTCTTCTGTGGCCTACCTCTACCTCTCTGTAGGTCCTCCAATGTTAATTTTTCACACCTCGTCGCCGGGACGTCTGAGCTCTTCCTCCTCACGTGAAATCTGCTCCACGCTTAAAATAAAATAATAATTATTGCTCTGTTAATCCAAGTATGATTGTCATCTTTTACTTACTACTTTATGTAAAATAATCTCAACAACCTTATTTCTGATATTTTATTCAAATAACTTGACCCTGCTGGGAGGATTGATGACTCACCTATGTTCCTTTGTTATGATCAAAGTTGCTTGCCGAACAACTTTTGTTCATATCGTGAGTTCATATTATCAGTTTTTAAATATTATTCTAAATTCGTAAAATAGATATCTAATAATTTGAAGAGTATTTGTCCTAACTACGCTTTATTTTTTAAACTTCTCACTAGGTTAACTTTCCACTAATTTAAGCAGTAAAAGAAACTTTCCACTAATTAACAAATCTTGTTGTTATTCTAGAATGTCAAATACTTTAAAACCACCTCAAATTATATATATTTTTTTAAAAACCTATATTGGAGAAATTTATCATGCATCTCATACAACCAACAATACTTGTATAAGGATACTTTCCTTTTTTGACATGTGACAAGTGAGTCCCAAAACTGAGCCAATCATCTATCATTCGTGCATCGTGAGGGAAGAAATGCCTTTTTTTTTTACTTTTAGTCCGTGCCAGAAACTATTTATATTTGATAGTCAAAAAAGTATATAAAATTTATCCTATAGCATCTCACAACCAGTTAATCCAAAAAACAATCCTATACTACAAGGAAAATCAAATAAAAACAAGAAGAAAAACACATGGGTTGCCTCCCGAGAAGCGTTCGATTTAACATCGCGGCACGACGCAGGTTACCATCACATCATTTGAGATACAATTTTTATACATGACATACAGGATGTGTATATATACAAAAAAGATATATTTTTGACTATTATTTTGAAAGCGATTATACAATGTAATTTTTTCAAGAAAGAAAAAGGAGGGAAAACAAATGTAAAAGCTTTTAGGAACTATATGGAAGTATCTCTTATTGGGCTTTTTTTTATTTTTGGCCCATAAGTCGAAATTAATTAGAGGGGCTAGTCAAAATAGGGAATCTTACATAAATGTCTCAAATAAGTCTTAACTCATCAACCTCTAGACGTTAATCATAGACATACCAAAACTAGACAAGCACATACAAAAATTGAAATCCAAATTAAATAAGGTATTTTCTCTCCAAGAATCACATGCAAAGATCTGTTTCCATATTGTTAAGCATGATCAACAACGTTAAATACAAGACGGAAAGGAAATTTTTTGGATGAGGTAGCAAATAAGGTGATGAAATACAATATTATATTCCAAAAATCTAAGCAAAAAAGGACATTTTTCAATGTGTATAGTTGAAATTAATTAAAAACATACAAACTATTCAATATACAAAATTTGAGGAATATTAGAGGTGATTTGGACTGATTTGATATCAAAATTCGTAGTTAAAATTGAGTTAAAAAAATTCTTCTGCGACACGTGTATCTCACACACAGGTATATATGGATATACATATAATATATATTTGATACAAATATGATACATAATTGATGCACAAATGATACACCGTGTGATACACATATCATTTTTTTCATGATTCATCTTTTACTTCGAATTTTCAATTCAAACCACCTCAAAACTCAATCAAATCATTCCAAAACTGAGATTCAAGCTCCTTAAAATGTACCCAATCTATTCTAATAACACTCACTCAAAAGAAAGTAAAAAATTTGACATCTTTTTACTACAAATAGTTAATTGGCTAATATTATTAATATTTTATAAATTGCTAATTTTAGTAATAAGCTATTTATAAATGGACATAGCCGGTAGTTTTCCGTCAAAAATACAAAACATATATACAAATTTTGTATACAAACTAAGTATATATTTTATATATATTTTTGCCGGTTATTATTTTGGAGGGCGACCCGAAAAAGTAAACCATTGAAATTAAATAGGACACGTATCACTCATCCAAGTAAGAACTTTGAAGAAATTGAAACACCTCTCTCTTTGCATCATAATGTAGTTTTTTTTTCTTTTTAATAATTATGTGTATTTCGATTATCATATGCAACCATTGTAATAAATGTCAAGTACTATACAAAAATTCTACAACCTCCAAAAATTGAGAGCAAGCTTTCTTCTTTGCCATTGTCAAAGAGCTAAACAAACTCCTACTACTGTCAAAAGTGTGTAACCAGACTTTACTCAACTACCTCTTAAATAAATAAACCTTTCTGCTTACATTTGTTATTTACCTCTCATATTCTACTAGGAGTACTATGTATTTCTTAATTTTCTTCCATATATAATTTTCTGAAACAATGAAACCTTAGTTTGTTATAAATATACAAAAGAGTGGGTATGTATCAAGCAAGAATTAAGATTTCTAAATTACACAAGAGTTGAAGAGTTATCCGTAGAAGACGTTGATACGGGCAGATACAACTTAGTGGGCGTTTGGACATAAGAATTGTAAAATTTAAAAAAAAAAAAAAATGAATTTTTTATTTCAAGTGAAATTTGAAAATTAGAGTTATGTTTGGACATGAATACAATTTTGGGTTGTTTTTGAATTTTTTTGGGTGATCTAAGTGAAAATTTTGAAAAATAGTCTTTTGGAGTTTTTAAATTTTTCGAAAACTTTCAAAACATCTTCAAGTGAAAATTAAAAATTTTATGGCCAAACACTAATTTTGAAAAAGAGTAAAAAAATTCTCGTGTCCAAACAGGCTCTTACTTCATCTACTAATCTTTATGCAAAGAATAATGATCAAGTTCTGGATCTAAATAAAAGGGGAAGTTGGGATGTAAATGATTTTTACCCTTCTGAAAAATGGGAGGTTAAGGTGCAAAAATTATCTTGGAAAATTATTCTTATTTCATTTTAGAAAAAATTATATAATTTTGTTTGCATAAAAATTTAGATGTGGTTGAAAATTAATATTTTACTCCCTATCATTTTTTATTTTTCACATGTCATAAAATCTTTTCTTCTTAATGGATTTATCTGCTATTAATCCCATTGCTTTTAATGTAATAAAAAATTTATTTGTGTTTGAATTATAGCGTGTAAACTAAATAAAAACCCAACGTGAACGGTGTGAGTACTTGAATAGCGCAAAATTGAATTTATGTAATAAAAGATATACTCCATAGAAATTATTCTTTTGTGATGCGTGTTGTGATAAAAGAGAAGTAATGGCAAAGTAGTGAGCTGTAGAAGGGAAAAATAATTGTAATATGCAGCATCTAATTGTATTTGCTAATTAATTTGATGATAAACAGTTTATGTTCAAAAAGTATTCTTGGTGAGAAGCAATATATGTTGTTAATTAATTTAAGAAGCACTTTTGAGTAATAATTAGTATTTGACCAATTTTTTAAAAAACTATTTCTAATTGTATTTTTCTCAAAAGTTATTTTCAAAAAAGCGTGTGAGGTAAAAGCTACTTTTTCTGTTTTTAGTCAAAGCATATTTTTTGCTTCTAAAAGTTTGACCAAACACCTTAAATTTGAAAAATACACTTTTGGCAACCAAAAAAAAAAAAACT